GAACCCCTTTCCTAACCCTGAAGCTTTGACCTTTCTTTTCTGTCATAATGTATGCTGACATTTCTGCATAAAGTTCTGTTAGAATCTTTATATATCTCTCTTCTGTACCTATTGCTCTAAGTGCTTTAATTATACTTGCATGTGAAATGGTGTCAAAAGCCTTCTTGAAATCAAGAAAACAGAGGTAGAGAGAGAAATTATATTCTTTGGCTTTCTCGATCATCTGATTTACCGTCTGGATGTGATCTATTGTTGAGAATCCTTTTCTGAATCCTGCCTGTTCATCTGCTATACACTCCATAATTCTTTTTGTGAGTCGCTGTTTAATTATGGTGGTAAAAAGTTTTGCCATGGTTGAACAAAGCGAGATGGGTCTGTAATTCTCTATGTCATGCATATTGCCTTTTTTATGGAGTAAGATTATCTTTGCGATTCTCCATTGCTTTGGAATTTTAGCCTCCTGGAGAATTAAGTTAAATAATTCTGACAGTTCTTTAATTAGAGCTTTTCCTCCTGCTTTTGAAATTTCATTTGTTATGTTATCCGGTCCGGGACTTTTTTCAGATTTAAGCCTTTTAATGGCAACAGTAACTTCATCTTCCATTATCGGTGGAACTTCCTCCAAATTTTTAGTCTTCTTTCCTTCCTCGCATGATTCAAAGGATGTTTCATTACAATCGTACAGTTTCCTGAAGTATTCTGTAGCCACTTTATTAATATGTTCTCGGTTGGTTGTGATTTCCTTTCTCTGATTTTCTATTGCAACCATCCAAGGTTTTCCTTCTGCAAGCTCTTTTTGAATTTTTCTTGTAGACCTATTGTTTAAAAGGATTTTGGTTACAGTATTTTTATTAAATTTTTCAATGTCTTCTTTTATCATTTTCCTTATGAGACTATTTAAATTTGTCAGCTCTTTCTTTTCATTTTCTGAAAGTTCTCCTCTTTCTTTTATCCGGCTCTGAACACTTAAAAGTTCCTTAGTTGTTTCCGATAACTTGTTTGAACTCTTTTTAACAACACCGGTACCTAATCTGCTACTATCATCTATGACTTTTAAAATGAGATCATATTTTTCTTGAACAGTACGGGGAAATTCACTGTTTTCATGACTAGACTGGAGATATGTTGAGAGATCATTTTGGAATTTTTCAATTTGAGCTTGGTCCTGAAGTAAAAGAGTTTTATTTTTTACTTTAAATGATCTTCTTCTCTTATATTTTTCAATATATATCTCTGCTCTTAGCATTCTGTAATCCGTATTGAAATTTAATGCTTTGATGACCTCAACATTTTTAATCAAGCTAATTTGATTTGTTAGAAAATAGTCAAGCTCAAATTTTTGGCCTTTTGGTGAACACCAGGTCCATTTATCCTTAAATGTTTTCTTGAAAAACGAATTTCCAATTTGAAGTTGTTGACTATAAGAAAAATGTATTATCCTGTCGCCCCCTTCATTCCTTTTTCCGTAACCCCAGTTTCCCATAATTTTTTCCTCAGCATCTAATTTGACCCCGATGCGGCCGTTAAAATCTCCCATAACCACAATCCAATTATTTTTTCTTTTGAAACTGGAAAGTAATATTTCCAATTCTTGATAAAATTGGTCTTTAGTTTCATTAGAGTCATCCATTGTAGGGGCGTGTAACTGTATAATTGTTAATTTTTTACTGGGAGTAATCTTAAAAACTAGCACAGCTATTCTATAATTTATCTCTTTAAAATCTATTATTCTATCTTTTAAATGCTTCAAAACAATAAAGCCAATACCATACATCCCATTTTTAGATGACGTATGCATAAATATATGACCTGATTTTTGTTCTATAACCAAACAATATTTTCGCCTTACTTCTGCTAGACCAATAATATCCCATTTAATGCCGTCGAGACTATGTATGAGCTCCTCCAACCTGTCTTCACCTAACAATGTCCTGACATATAGTGTACATACCTTTAGAATGCCTTTGTTGTTGCCATGAAAAATTGGGTTCTCAATTTGCTATGTGCCAGTACTTGGCGTTTCTTTTTTTCTTGTTTCCACTATTCCTTCTTCATGTGACACCAAATATCTATCTAGACTTACAGAACGGTGGTGAGTTTTGGTATCTTTTATTTATTTTTTCTGTAGGTCTTTGTTCTGATTTTTTATATTTATTTTTTATAAGCATTTCTTTTTCCACATCTTCACTCATTTCTCGTTTGTTCCTAAAATTATCTTGCGATTGTTATTCTTCCAAACAATAAATTTTATCGTTGATAAGAAGTTTATCATACCTTAAGGACGCCTTATTTCCTTTCTCCCACTGTGCTTTCATAAAAGGATACAATTCTTTTCTAATGCTTCTGACTTCTTTCGGCATGTCATCCTTAATCTTTATCTGTTTAAATTCTTCAGATTTCATAAGCTTATATTTGTTTCTCATTATGTCTCTTTTTAAAAATATAGAATTTAATTTTACCAATATAGGACCATTTTTAAATTTAAAGTTACTTTTTCTTACATCTATAACGTCATATGTTCTGAGGTCTGATGTGATGAACTGTAGTACTGTTAGAACCATCTTGTTCATTTCTGTTGGTTTTTCTTCTTCTAATCCAAATATTATTATATTTTTTCTTCTGGTATTATTTTCTTCTCTTTTCCTATAATTTTCCATATTACTAGACAGTTCATTTATCTGTGATTTCATTTCATGTATTTCTTTCTCATGATATCTGTTATTTTCGTCTAGTTTAGTTTCCAATCCTGTAATTTTTTCTATTAATATATTGAATTTTTCTTCTATTGTAGCCATTGTGATATAAAAGTGTATTTAAACTAGATATGATTGATTTAACTAGATGTGGTAATGAAGTCTGTTCAGTTTCTGTCTATTATTTCAGGTATGTTATGTAGCAGATATGTATCGAGTTGAAGTTGTCAATGAAGTCATTTACACTTATAATCAAATTAAATTAAAATGAATAGAAATTGTTGTAAAATAAATTGTTAATTAAAAAATATAAACTTTTAATCAATGGTTACCTTTTTCCAAGATTTCAGCTGTCTGTAAAACACAGTTGAGTGCAGAAACAGCATAAGTCCGCATCAAATTTTTAATTTTCCTGAGCCTAATTTATGTCGAAATTAGGTAATTTTTGCATGACAGAAACATAAATGCATGTTAAGACAGAGGATAAAAAAAAAAAAGGTAAAATATTTGGAAATTTGGAGGAGTTATGACGTTTTTTCTTTCTCCTGAAAACATTGAAATTTGTGACTGAAATGGTTTCTGCACTCACCGATTCAATTATTGAGAGAACAACATCTACAAATTTTACTATTCCACCCCAATCTAGACCCCATGGCACCCAATGGCACCCACCCCTGCATATATAACAAATTCCAAAAAAACATGGGTGTATTTTATTAACTAATTTAATTAATTTTAATTAACAAAACTTGATTTAATACACTGATTTGTGAACTAATATTTAATTGGCAGTTGTATTCCTTCTCAACGGATTCCCCTCTGCAACAGAAAAATCTGTTGACCATTTTTAGAGGATTATATATCAATTACGGTATTTTATTCTTTATGATATAATGCTGTAATTATAAAATTAATGGTGTAATGGTGAAAATTAAAAAAATATATATAAAAAGGGTTGACTCAAATGACCTTAAAATTATTTAATTTATAATAAAAATGAAATATTGGAGTTATATATTCCTATATACTAAATGCTGTAAAAGTCAAGTAGAAGACAAAGGCTTTGTAAAGGATCTTGCAAGAGTTACTGTGAACAGGAAGTCCTGGTTCTAGATATTGCTCCCGCCAAATGTGTTTGCACCTGGACTTTATGACTTCAACCTGCAGATTTAAGCTGGACTTTCCTTTGAGATCTTTGACAGAAGGTTGAGAGGTTTAACCTGTTGAAAAATTCAACCCTGTCAATAAAAATGACAATAAGGACAGTCTGTTGGTATCTGGTGAACTCTTTCCAACACATAACAGTAATATATTTAAATTATTTCTCTACTTCATACAAACAAAATAAATCAGATTATTATCAAATTATACTTGTTCAAGGACCACCAACGGATCCTATTGATATAGTTTATGAATTGAAAGACTGATCATTCCTGGCTAATAAAAAAAAGAACTTAACCAAGTTTATTTTTGATGGATCTATACTTTTAAGTTAGTTTCCGAGAAGTTTAAACTTATGTATTGATGCAAAAACACAGTAAGTGTATCAAATTGATTCAAATCCTTTTACGTACAAAAAAAAATTAAATTAATAAGCACTGGCGGATTTACACAGATTTTTTTTTCTTTGGTTCAACTTTGATTATGTGAGTGACCTAAGTTAAATACCTAATTAATCACTAAATATACTATTTTTAAATTATTGTGGACACACAGCTACTAAATGTAAGTATCTGTAAAAAATATATATATTAAAAATTATCCTAAAGGCATTGCTGTTATTTGAATTACATTTTTTAATTTTTTTAATTAATTAATTATAACAGACCTTATAGGACCACTTAAAGAATCTTTCGTAGAGTTAACTTTTAATGTAATGCAGGTGTATAATAATGTATATATTTTTTTGGTTGACTTCGGTTTACCCAGATTTTAAAGATTATTATTTACCGATCGTTTCTTTTCTTCTTTTGAGTAGTATTTTTATTAAATGAGTTATAGTGTAATACAAATAACAACAGAAGTTTGTTTAAGCAATTTCGCCCACAAAAAAACAAAAAACAATACGGGTTACCCAATTTCAACATAACTTTTATTTATTTATATAAATCAATTTCGTTCTTTTTTGGTATTGCAGAACCTAAAATGGAGATTCGTATGGCACATCCTCAGGAAAGAGGACGCCAAAATAAACCAACAGATTCTAATCTCGAATGGAATTGCCGGGCCAGGGAAGATTAAGGCGGCGTAATAGAGCATGATGAAGATGAGTAATAAAAGAAGACCAGCGAAAAACAGACAAAGATAGTTTAATATACAGAGAAATATGGCGGATATTCTTGGCTCCCCGAAGTACTACATTTACAGAGGATTTGAAGCATTTAAGTAAGTGCTTAAATATTTATAATTTTATTTATAACTTTAACGATCTTAAAATAAGATTGTCTGCATGGCTTTCAAAAAGAAAATCTCAAGCAGTAAAAAATATTTATTGAAAGCAAATGCTTTGCAGGTGATTGCTGGCGATCATCGTCTTCCTCATCTGTAAACCCATTTTTACTGATTTAGATTTTTTTCTATATTTCTATACTTATACTTATACAAACGTATACTTCTCTAAATCTAAACCAATAAAATTAACGATGCCTTCCATTTTAATCACAGTAACGCAAGAGAATACTCACTTACCAGTAGTGTTGCCCAAACGCAAGACCAAGATGAGATCGAGGCGGTCTTTGTCTTGCGTCAAAGAACCTTGGCCTTGGTCTTTCGAGAATTCGCTTCAAAAAATACGAAAATTTAAAAGACTTTAAGTAGAAAATTAATAGAAAGTTTCATTAAAATCGTTAGAGTCGTATAATGTTAATTTTAAACTATATAAAGCATAAATACATATGTTTATACAATTAATTGATTAATGTTTTTAGCACATATGTTAAATTCGCACATAAAATTCATAAAAGCGATTATTAGTAGTTTAGGTACTTAAGTGTTATTTTTTTGGACACTTAAAGATTATGAACAAGTGCCGCGCGTCCTTCACGTTCTTTATTTTTCTATTTAGATTTTGATTGAAACGTTTCTGCATAACGGACTGCACACACCGGTACCAAATGGATATAACACTTTTTATGTTCTTCTCTGAACTAAAATTACCAATACCCAATCAAGTCTGAGCTATCCACGGCCAGATTTTGTTGTTATTGAATTTAATTAAAGTATTGAAAAATATGTACAATATAGCCTAAATTTGGCTAACCAATAATTTCAGTTTTCACAGAATTATTATAAGATCTTTGTTAATGTTCACTTAAATGCTTTTCCACTTTTTAGAGGATAGAAATACGAAAAAAAAACTTTATTGTTTAATATTTTACTCATCGGGAACCATTTCACCGTTATGTGATTTCGGAAGTTACATGGCAATTCTGTGCATTCCTTCTCCTGCAAATTTTTAGATTCCATCCATTCTTTGAACATTGTTCGAAAACCTTCATTGAGATGTCTACATCAATAATTAACAAACAATGGTTGCCACCGTTGAATTGAGGTCCTTTGCAATTAATATTTGTCGACGTTTCTCAATACCTGTTACTCGACGGCAAACTTAAATCATTAATTATATAATTAAATTATTAGTAAATTATAATAACTATTATGACCAGAATAACAATAAACGTTAATGTAGTACTGTGTCATAAGTTATATATCAAATAAAATACAAAAGGAAAGATAAAAAATCGGTAGAATGTACAGTAAAAAATTAAATAAGAATGAAGAACTATAAGGAAATAAAGAACAATTCATGGACGAGAATTAACCGGTATGAGTCAACAAAAGCGTTAAAAAATAAGCTAATATAAAATAATTTGATACTGAATTTTATGTTGAAGTTCTGGATTCTGTTTCATGTACAAGTAAAAAAAAAAAAAGAAAATATTATTTTGCTCGCGGAAAGTCTGATAATATTGACATTTTCTGAAATTTACAATGAAAAGTCTATCGTTTTTCAGTAGAATGAACCAAATTTAAAATTTATTAAGATAAAAAAACATAGCTTATAATATCTTATTGATGTATATATATAAAGTATTTAGAAGCTAAAACAAGAATTTCTAATGATTGAAAAAATAGAAATCAGTTTTATAATAAGATATCTCACGTTATCTACCACACTGTCATTTATTTTTGTATTTTCATATATTATTTCTGATAATATATTCATAGCTCACATAATAGTTTTACTACAAAACGAAAGAACTAAAAAACCGGATTTATACAATTATAGCCAAAAATATCCAGTTATGAATCACTGAACGGAACTTGTGAAGCTCATATTCTGCGAACATTAAGTTTTCTCCCATATTAGTTGACTGAGAAACAATTTCATTTTGAAGGAGGAAATGGAATAATTGTTACGAATTTATCTATTCATAACAATTTCGAAAACAAAATACTTACGCTAGTCCAAACAAATTTATTATTTTTTTTTTTTTATTAACGAAATTTACAACTGTAATCAATAATAAATACAACAAGTAAATATGAACAAGTAATATGACATGTACAACATGAGGAGAAGCTACCCATTGGTAGCACTCCAGTCCAAACAATAATTACAAATTACTATTCTTTTTTTTTCTATATAAAACAAAGTTTACGTTTCTTATGTGCAATTTTATTATGCAAAATATATTATTAAATTCCTCATAGAAATATTTTTAAATTGTAAATTTAAAAAGAAAAATCTTTGAATCGAATAAACGATTTTATTTTCACGATATAAATTTTAAAATACAATTTAAGTTTTCTAATCGTTATTTTTTTAACTTGTTTTTCTTCCAATATTTCTAAAACGGACATCTAAAACAGAGTGTCCGAGTGGACTAACGGTTGCGCACAGCACTGCGCGTTGCCCGGCAACCTGATAACCGATGTTGGAGAAAAAATAATTATGAGTTCGCGTCCCGCTGCCCGGGGGACTTTTAACTCTGGCATTAATCCCCCGCCCTCATCCATGGCCATCGAAAACCCAAAACGGCGAGGTAAGGGGAGAATAAAAAAAAAAAAAGATTAATTTGTTATTATTATTTGGAAAGCTACACTTAAATATACAATTCCACAAGAAAAAACAACGCTGTTTAGATTGGTTGATTAGAATGTTTAAGCACCGTACTATATCTGAAAATAGTCTCAGTTTAACTTAACTGCAAGACTAGCAGGGTTTGGTCTTGGTCTTGCATAAGCCTAGCTGGGTCTGGTCTTGGTTTTAGTCTTGCAACAATTTTTGTGGTCTTGGTCTTGCAATGTGCAAGACCAAGACCAAGACCAATTTTGGGCAACACTATCTACCAGAGAATTACACTTTGGTGAGTAAATATTACTTTAAGATTTGAACCATTTCTTCGTTTGTAACTTCTAGAAAAAAACTTTCTGATCCATTGAAAAGCCAGGCAATCACTGTATTAGTTTCTGTTTAAATCAATAATAAAATTATTCTAATTTTGGTGTAATTGGTTACACATAGGATATAAAGTTCTCCGATTTTAAACAATATCTATCTTGTTTGAAATATTTTATTTTCAGAGTTTTTCATTTCTTAAAAATACTATAATATTTTTTTAATATGAATACTATAATGTTTATATACTATAAAAGTAATATTCTACATATATTACTATAAAGTAATATTATTAGGATATCAATACATTTTTTTTAAAAAAAAATGTATTGATATCCTAGAAATTTTAAATATTCTTTCAGTAAGTAAATATGTCAGTCTGATTCAATGGCTTTTCTGAATGTTATCTTATCTATATCTATTTCTTTATCGGATGAAAAGCATTTTGAAATACCTTACTCTCCTCATCACCTTCTGGAAACTGGTAGAATGTTTTTTTTTTTTTTGGCTATGAATATTTGAGTCATTCGATATGTCTCAAAATTATAAATAGTTCAAAATTTAGCAGTAAAATTACAGTGTGGACGATGAATTCCTGGCAATATTAAATAGCAAAATGAATAATAACAACATATCAAAATGTTTATCGAACCCGAAAGATCGATGCTGATACCACGAATTGCTATCTGTTCAACAATTTAGCACGATCATTTTCACCGCTAAGCTATCATTTCAACATCAAGTGTGTATAGTTCACGCAATTCGGCATTGTGTAGCCGTTTAAATTCTCCGGTTGAGTCCAAGTCCTTCCTAACTCCAAATATTTTATTTTCAAAAGTCCGTAGGCACTCTTCATCTCTTAATGTAAAAAACCTCTTTTTATGTCTACTAAGAACCGAAGAAAATGTTGTAAATTCCAATTTTTAAGTAACGGGATAAAAGGCACAAACTAGGAAGTTTTGTAACCGAAAAATAACTAGGCTTTAACCTAGTCGTAATTACATCTTCAATTTGTCTTTTCCTTGTCCCTTCTATATCTATATCACTGGAATCGTCGGCGTTTACTGTAGCTTACATATTTTGTTTTATCGTATTTATTTCGAGTCCCTGAAGATAAAAAAAACAGGATCAATTTGTGTAAAATGAATAATTAATATCAGAGACATCTGTCATTTTAAATCCAATTCTAATATTTATTTATTTTTTTATGATTAAACTATAACATTGTTAAATACAATCATCAGAAACAGTTTGAGTTGAACAAATAAAATAAAATTTGACTTTTTCTCCACTTTCTGAAAATGAGAACGTTAATGTTTTTATTTTTAAAAAGTGGCGTTTCTTTGTCTTTAAATTGAATTATAACTTGATTGCAAAAAAAAATACCCTAACTTTTTAATCAGACGGGATTATTTTTGTTTTATATAAATAGCCTCGAAATTGCCGTTCCAGACAAAAGCCTAGACCGTTCGTATAACAACACCATGTTATCACATTGCTAAGCAAGGGTATTTTCCTGACTTTAAGAATAAAATCTTTTATAGAATTAACATTATAGTGACATACTCCAGTGCAAAATTAAATCAAAGTCAAAATAAATAATATAGTAAGATGCGTTTTAAACCAGAACAGACTTTTTTTTTTTGTTTATTTATTGAAATTTACAACTGTATACAAATATAACTAGTAAATATGCGCAAATATAAATAATGGCATGTACAGGCTTGAAGAGTTACTACCCAGTGGTAGCACTCTCTAAATAATTTTAAGTAAGAAGATCACGAGGCCATCTCCTTTTCAGCCGCCTTGGAGGATTATCAGGAATCGAGAAAGAAACAAGAGTGGAAACAAGCTTGAGTCCATGTCCTCTTCTTACCTTTTCTTTTCTTAATCATGTATTAGTGGTTCTGAGATTCTGTCCTTGAAAGAAACGTACCATCCTCCACCCTATATATTCGTAGTTACTTTTCCCAATACCGTATGGTCCAAATAACATTTCGTTCTATAATTTTCCTTTTGCCCGGCTATTCATGTATCCCATTATATTAAAGTCAATTTAGATGTATTTTTTAATCATCTATAAGTATAAGAAATTATGTGTTCCTATTCGATTTTCTGAATACTCACCCCAGTCACAGAAGTTATATTAAAAAAAAAAAGGATTTGATGAATTCTTGAATCTCCCTTCCCCTCTGACCTTGTTTACTTACCTTTTGCTATCTGAAAAAGGACAAGTGTGAAATCCTCCCTCCCCCCCTGACCTTTTTACTTACCTACCAAACATGTCAGTACATGAACAACCTCAGTGCTCAAACCACGGTTAGTAAGAGAAAATATTACAAATTTATATAAATGGATTATATACATTATTTTTTATTTTTAGTTTGTATAACTATTTTAATATGTGTATTACAATATTAGTTAAGATTCATGTGCCATCAATCACTATAGTTTATTATTTATAATTAGCGGTCGTATACTATTATATCTCTGATTGTAATTTAAAAAAAACATTTTCAGCCCTGAAGATGAGCCACATGTTTGGGTTGAAACGTTGGCTAAAATAATTTTTTTTTAAAAAAGACTGCGTCCTGAATATTTATCACCCATTAAAAAAAAAAAGTTATATTAAAAAAATAAACGTATTGTGTCATTTTAGAGTATGATACAAATGATATATCAGTCAGAAAAAAATTTACTAGATTAATTTATTTACAATTATAATTGTATATATTGAAAATATTATTACTTCGCAAATATAGAACCCAAAAATAGTTTATACCCGACTATAATTTTATATATTGTAAATGTTATTACATTGTGAATATAGAACGAAAAAAAATTATATTTCATATTATTAATTTAGCCTTGTTGATGTTTTCACGTTTTAATTGTATCATCTGATCCATTGGCCTTTTTTACAATGGAATCGACACATATTTCGATTTACAAAAAAAAATCAAGTAGAGTTCACTTTAGAAAGAAACAATTTAATTTTATAATTTAACATTTTTTTTAGATTATGGTTTTATACCAGGAACATAAAAATGTAATTTTACATATTTATTATTATAAGAGGACTGACTGTCCCACAATAAATTTTTTTTTTTCTTATACTTCAATTACTATGTTTGATGTTTTAGGATCGTCAGAAAAATGGACTACTTTCTGGGAGAGCCATTACAACAGGAAATTTTCGAAAGTATTATTAGATCAATAAAAATAATGTTAAATAAGGAGCACCCACGAGCTCGAATTGAGCCGAATGCTGAAATGATGGACAAGGAATTTCAAAGAGAAGCAGAAAGCAGTGAATTGATTGACAGTCCTAGACTTCGAGGTTCGGAGAATGAAAGCCGAAGCAATTGTCGGTATGAAGCTGTGGATCTCGATGAGCCCCCGGGAAAATCCCTTACCCCGTTACCCTCCTGGTATTGGTCTCCGTGGGACGACGGAATTCGGTCGTCCTATTATGACCATGCTTCAAAACTATCCTCAGAACAGAACAGAAGATTTACATTTCAACACAAAAGAAGTCAATGATGATGGTGATGATGACGAGATCTCACGATCTTCATCATCCGAATACCCGCTATCATCATCCGAGTCTTCTACTTGCGATTCATCAAGCGATATTTTATATATATTGCATTTTATTATTAAGGCGTTATTTAAATTTTAACTATTTTTATTGTTTCTTTGTTTTTTTTTCAAGAAATTTCACTTCTTCTTTACCAGTATCCCTCTGTTATTCTTAGATATAACCAAATGTCTGCTTTAGTTTACTTTCTTAGCAGACTTGGGCAAAAAGTATTTTGTTTATTTTATTTTTTAAGTATTTTGTTTTAATTAATTTTACTTTTAATTTTTATCAAAGAAATTTTAAGTGTACTTGATTATGGCTTTCCTATTTTTGAGATTCAGGGGTAATGTATCATGTCAAATGAACAAAATATTTTTTAGTACCCTCTGCTATTTATTTTATTATTTAATATTTAAGTAAATAGTTTTGTATATTTTCATTTGTTTTATCAAAAGTTTTATTATCTATTACAAAATGTAATAATGTTGTGTTAATTTTTTTTTTTTGTTACTCGACTCTGTTGTTTTTACTTCGTCAATTTTCAACCGGTAATGTGTTTATAACTTTAAAAAATGTATAGATGAAATTACAACACTATTAATATTGTAATAGAATAAATAAATATTTATTATTTACAATTTATACAAATTAATTTTAAAAATAAAAAATAAATAATTAATTAATATAATTTTTTTCTATTTTTTCTTTGTGTTTTATACATTTTTATAATCTAGTAAGTAAGTAATTTAATAATATATAGTTTCACTTCCGTTGTTAATCAACATTTTATAGTAGACAAATTAAGATTCATCATTTACAATATTTCTAAACATTGTAACAAAAATATGCACAGAAGTGAATATTGTATTTTATTATTTAAGTAAGTAGTTTTGTGTATTTTCATTTTTTTTATCCAAAATTTTATTATCTAATAAACAATTTAATAGTGTTGTGTTAAATTATTTTTTGTTTCTTGCTCTGTAGTTTAAAAAATGTATAGATGAATATACAACACCATTAATTTTTTTCTTTTATTTTATCTGTTTTTATAATTTAGTAAGTAAGTGGTTCAATAATATACACATTATTTATAGTTTTTTTTGGCTCTGCCTTTTTTAATTATTCAATTATAAACCTGTAGTAATGTGTAATAAGTTGAAAAAAAAAGATATTGAATGAATTAAAATACTATTCAATCTTTATTTTTTTTTTTAATAAGTAGTTCAATAATACACAGATTATGTATATTTTGTTTTTGGAGCTCTGCCTTTTCAATTGTTCCACAATTTTTTTAATTACACAATTTTCAAGCACCCTATTGTTTTTATCATCTTTTCCTCTACTGCTCAAATATTATTGTTATTAATATGGATGTGTTAGTAAAAATCAATAAATATATTTTAAAGATTATTATAGTAAACTTTAATTTAAAACCAAAATTATAAATCACATCTCTTTTTCTATAATAATTTTTATAATTAGTAAATTTTTAATTATATGTTTTATGTTAGTTAAAATTAAAATAAAAATGAAAATACGGTGTGCCCATCACGCAACTTTCATTTATCACTCTACTTTGAATAGAAATTATTTTCTGGAAATGTTTAACTATTATAAAGTTTTTTAAGTGCATTTTTAATGGAGCTAAACTTTGACATTATAACTAATCTCTAACAACTCATTGAGGCTATTGAAATAACACAACTCCTTTTTTATTACATTAGAATAGAATAGAAAATAATTTTATTCTGGAACAAAGTCCCTTTAGAATAACAAAAAAGTACAAAATTAAAATATTATATCTGGCTTAAATAAAAACAAACATAAAAATAAAGAGAAATAAGTAAGGAAAATATATACAAAATAAAAAAAAATCTATATACAATAAACTTGAAACCATGCCGAGACACTTAAAACTATGTACAATGGTAAAACATAAATATACACTTTTAGAAAAAAAATAAATAAAAAATACATTACATTCTTCTTAGAAATAAACTCGGTGTTTCTGAAAAAAAAGAAAAAAGAAGTCTAATCTGATAGTAAGTATTTAAGTGATTATATGTAAATATATCATTATGTAAATTATTATGAATAATATGCAATTTTACATAAAAGGTTGGCGGGAGAGAGGAGGGGAGGTATTTGACTGTTTTTGGGACAGAAATTGGAATAGGAGGGTTTTAAATCTAGATAGGGAGGGTGAATGCCGAATTTTGATAGGAAGGGAATTCCAGAAATTAACAGAGCGAGCAATAAAGGAGTTTTGGAACGAGGCATATAAACAAAATCGTGCAGTATAAATTCAAAATACTTAAAATTGTGTAATTAACACCTAAAAAACGTGTAAAATCATCAATATTGTTTAATTTATAACATTAATTCATCGAAATCTTATCAGATCTTGAGTTAATCGATAGATAAAATAAAAAATAAAATTGAATCTTAACATTGAAAATGAAATTCCAGATTATAATCAACTATTATAATAACAATTATTATTAAATAATGTAGAGCATTGAAGGTTTGAAAGAATATAACTTTTATTAAAAATAATAATGAAAACTTTATTTTTTAATAGAGTTGAATTTTCCAATATTATACTTTCCCAAACGTTTTTGTTAAAATTTAAAGAATTTTGAAAACAATTTGAAATGGACTATAATTTTTGAGATTTTCAAGTGTTCAAAAATTAGTTTTGAAGTTGTTTTTCTAAACCACTAAAAAAAATATTTTTGGGAATTACGTTCTTTCTAAAAAACATTCAATTCTTTGATAAGAATATATTTTTCTTACTTGTTCCTCAATGAGCGTCTATCAGTGATTTCTTATCACCTGATTGATTCATAAGGTAATTAGTTTTTGATTGGAGACTAGATTTTACTTTCAGCAATATATATATATATATATTTTTATAAGAATGAAATTTCTACAAATCAATTCAAAGATTTTTGCTTTACACAGAATTATTTGTTTTCCTCATATTTTCTATTTTGAATAATGAATTTAATTTGAACGATATAGTAAAATAAATATTAACACACTCACTTATACATTTGTATTTATAAACCGTTTAATTTAGCAAAAATGTGCTATTTAATGCAACAAAAATCAAAATTGTGCAATTTAAGCCAAAAACGTCAAAACCAGCAATTTCGTGCAATATAAAATTTAAATATGTTATTCTACAGGTTCTGAAACGGATAGATGTTCGGGTCCGGAGTTTTTACACGCAAGCGAATAAAAGTGCAATAACATGGAAATCCAGTCTCTAGTAATAATGATAGAATTATAATAATAAAACTTAATTCAAAAATATCTTTGTTCAATATCTTGAATTTTTTATTTAAATGTATATACTTCCCCAGAAATGAGTTATATTAATACCTGTTTTATAAAATAAAATAATATATACCTAATATGAACTACATATTATGAATAGTTGTTTAGTAAAACTCATATACCACTAATAAAGTAATTAATTTTTATTTCCTTTATTTTGTTCGGAAGTTGGGCCATATCATAAAAAAATAAGAAATTTTAATATTGAATGCATTATTCTCTCTGCACAAAGAAAGATGGTAAGGGCGAAGCTATAATTTCTTCTAAGTAACCGGAACTGATTGTTAGTATTTGGTCTCAAAATGAGGGAAAACGTGAAATTGAACCCAAAAATTGGAAATACTAGCAGAATACTAGCAGAACAATTAGATATGCCCTGAATCCGGAAGGGCTCCATGGTAGAGTTCCAAGAAAGAAGCCATATATCAGTGAAACGAATCGCAAAAAGCGCCTTGCTTTTGCTAGGGAGTACGTACAGAAACCCTTAAGCTTTTGGGTAAATGTCATCTTTTCTGACGAAAGCAAATTTAATTTGTTTGGTTCAGATGGTCGAAGGACAATATGGCGACATCGTAATGAAGCCCTAAAGAAGCAAAATGTTTTAACAACTGTAAAGCATGGTGGAGAACATGTTATGGTTTGGGGGTGTGTTTCCTACCATGGCGTGGGAAATCTTGTGAGCATTGAAGGCATTTTAAATGCGGAAGGCTATGTGAACATTTTGCGACGTAATTTGCGTGTTAGTGCCGAAAAATGGGAATCCAGGATCAGTACTATTTCCAGCAGGACAACGATCCAAAACATACTGCGAGGAGAACAAAGCAGTGGTTAATATTAAATGTTCCAGGACAGCTCCACCCTCCTCCTCAGTCACCAGATATAAATATCATTGAAAATTCATGGCACACCCTTGACCAAAATGTAATAAAACACCATATCACTAATGGACATCACCTTAAACAACTTCTTGTTCAAGAATGGGAACAAATAAACGTAGATTTAATTAAAAACCTAGTGCATTCAATGCCCAGCAATCATTGACAATGATTGACAATTGACAACAAGCAATTATTGACGCAAATGGCATATTCACAAAATATTAAAATTTAAAATAAACTTATAAATGTGAAAGTGTGCAAATACTTTTTCCAAGTACTTTTATTGTTTTAATTATTTTGTTTGATTATGAAGGGTTTTTGCAAAGGAAAGTGAAGTTTTTTGTTTCCTTGAACTACTTTATTTATAAAAACGTGTTGTGCAAATACTTTTTTCCATCACTGTATCAGACATGCAAAGAACGGTTCATAGAAAGAAATAAGTGAAGGCCTAGATCAATATATGTGGTGATGGAGGATTCTTAACGAGTCCAAAATAGATGTTTCTGTCATAGTCTGCATCTGCTCCCTTCCAACACCGAGCCTTTGCAAGAAATTATTTGTAGTAAGAGGCACTAGCGCCCCCCCCCCCCCTCCCTGGAGGCTAGAAAAAATCCAAAAAAAGTTCCAATAAGCGGCTATTTAAAAAAAAAAAAGAGAGAGAAATATAGGAAAAATTCGTCCTCACAGACGAAATATAAAATATTATCGTGACCAACACTAGCGAATTCTTCCAACGGGTGCGCCCTCCCTTAGATGGTGGGAAAAAATTCAGAAAAAGTTACAAAAAAAAAAAACCTATTTAAAGAAAACAGAAATATAGGGAAAATTCATCCCCGTTCACGAATTTCCTAAATTAAAATAAAAAAAATTATTATCGCAACCAGCCCTAGCGAATTCTACCAAGGAGAGTGCCATCCCTTTGGTAGTGAAAAAACAAAATAAAAAAAACACCTATTTAAAGAAAT